CGCTGGTTCAATTAGGCTTACGTCTTGCAAATGCAAATGATGTTGAGATAGAGCCAGAGCCAGAGCCAGAGACAGTGCCAGAGACAGTGCCAGAGCCTCACATTAGCATACTTGCAGTCGATATTTCTGATCGGGGCTACCATGGGACCATGGGTTTTGGGTAGTGATTGACAGTTGGAAGATGGTTATAAATCTGCACTTAAACTCCAAATAACCATGGGCCAACGAAGTCAAAGCAAACCCAATGCTAACTCTCTTGCCGCCCCACTGTGCCTGGGGGTGGCACTTAAAATTTGATATGATACTCGCATGATTGCCATGCACAGGCATATGCACACGGACTGCAATCAGCTATGTTAAATCTATGTAAAATATTTATATTGCACTGATGCATCATCCATGGGGAGATGGATGGACGAGTGCGTAATCAGGAGTGCAGGCCAAATGGAATTTGCATAAACATTGCCTGATACATGCCGTGCAGATGAGATGCCACATGCTGCCACTAGTGGCAGTACCTGCCTGCCACTTGTTATGACATTTTGATTATTTATTTGGACAAAGGAGTTGTCTCCACGCTCCGCTACGGCTCCACAAGTATCCCAACAATTATTATTATCAAATAAATGAGTGTTCAAGTAAAATCTTGCGAGTGTTCTGCTTCTGCTAGTGTGTACATAGACGAGTGCGAGTATGTTGCAGCATGTGCAACACAGTTTGCTGGAAAATCTATGGCCAGCAACTTTGTGTGGCATCAACATACACACACTTTGGATCTGCATTTGAGTGCAGCAAACAAAATTGCTTCAAATGCAGCATAAGTAAATGTTGGCAAATAAATATGCATGCCCCAAGATAGAGATACCCAGAAACCCAACATTTGAATAGCTCTGTGTGAATTTTTCATAGCTTTGCGTAGTTGAGAGAGAGAGAGAGAGAGAGAGAGAGGCCAATTGTGGCCAGCATAAATCACTTAAAATTTGTGCCAAATAAATACGGCAAAAGCCACAGATTGAACAGATTTTCTTGGTAAAAGTCAAACTCCGGCCAGAAGAGAAGAAAAACTAAACAAGTTTAAGTATTTATGCAAATCAACTGCAAAGGTGGAAATATGCTCAAACTTGAATGCCCGCAAAATGCCTTAAATGTTCAGAGGGAAACATTAAACTTCAAGCCACTAATAAATGATGAAATATCACTGGGAATTATTTATTTATACATTTTAGCCTTTCTTGAATTTTTAAACTATTAAATCCCCATTAGGGAAAATGAAGGATGGTAAAGGACTTACAAAATCCTACGTAAAATAAAGTAAAAATTTCTTTACTCGATCCTGCATCAAATCCCCAGATAAAAGAGCCCCGATTTAAGAATACAATTTGGATTAAACTGTGACAATGGCAGGGGGCGCGGTGGGAGAATGTTTTCGGAATGCAAGTGGCGCCTGCAGGCACATATGCAAAATGGAAACTTTGAGGCTGCCGCAAGCCACTCAGCCAACGCCAGACACGACACAATTTGAGTCCAACGTGTCGTGTGTGCAGCCCCAAAACTTGGCCAAGCGTAAATGGATACATTTAGAATGCGAACGAAGGAGAGGGGCAGTTTAGAGATGGAGACGAAGAGTTGCGAATTGACAGAGACACAAAGAGATTGAGAGAGAGAGAGAGGGAGAGGGAGGGGGAGAGGCAACGCTCAAACAAAACATGATAACAATTAAAACTTTGTACACTTGGCGTATTTACATTATTCATTTCGTTGCTGGATTCCCCTGTCACATTCCACACACTCCACTCGTATTCCCTTTCCTTGGGTATACTGGCCTTTGCTCAGATATTTGCAACGTAAAGAAGAAAGTAATCACAAGTTTGTTTGCTTTCTTTATAAATACTATGTACTATGTATTTGTACGTACATGTAAATACATAGATTGATTTTTTCTACAAAGGGGGGAAGGCATTAAATGTTCAATGTAGTAATTAATCTCTTACCTTCTATATATTTCAATTCTGCATTTGTTGTTTTTTTTCGCAAGCAAACGTGTGACGAAGAGAGAGAATAAGAGAACATCTCCGACTCTTTGCAGGCGAGCCACTCGCGCATTCCTTTTACGCTTATTCTTTAACTCTTGCTTGAGTGAGAAAGGGACAAAACTATGCGCACTCCCGCACCGACACATGTAACTGTAACTCGCTGGAAAAAGAACACAGACACAATGGAATCTAGAACATTCCGCTGATTTTTAAACACAAAAAAAAAACTATGAATGCATAACACAATATGATTACTTGTAGATCAAAGAGATAAAACTTCACTGTACTTTCACATATTTCCGCACATTTCTAGCTGCCAACTACAGTTTGTGTGGTCACTGAACTTGACCGCGAACTTTATCTTGCATTCCAAAACAATTTTTGCACTCTTTCTATATTTATTTACTTCTACACTTCGGGGCACAGTCCCGCGATCATGTTATCGTTTGATTTTCTCCTTTTTGCAACCCGGAAACGTGGAGCTGACGTAAACACAGCTCGTTTTTCTTGTTTATTGCGCCAAAGCGTAAGCTGTGAGAGAGCGGTTCACACACAGTGCTCGCTGTTTCTCTCTCACCTTCCAGTCTTCCTCGTGCTTGCACATTCCATGTTGCTCTCTTATTGAATATATGTGTCACCTTCTCACCACTCCATGTGAAAAGGGAGATCGAGGAAGTAAGTGACGTAACTTTTGGGGAGAGTAAGTGGTGCGGGTGCAATCAAGTGCAAGAGGGAGGCTGAAATAAAATTTCCCAACTGTGTTCATATGTATGTACCTATGTAATACATTCCAGAGTATTCAAATCTTCGTTGCCCAAAAGCCGTAGTTCAATTTTATACTTCAGTCTGATGCTCTTGAGTCTTTTCTTGCCTCTCGTGCATTCCTTTTTAGTTATTTTTGCTTTTCTGGCAAGGCACATTCATCTGCCGATTCACACAAATGTGCATTTATGTGTGTAACTATGTAGATCTCTTGTCTTCTGGCTACTTGAATAATGCCAAAAGCAACAAAAAAACATCGAGCAAAATGCATGCCCGTAAAAGGCAAACACACAATGCAGACATCGTGCACGTTAAGTACTTAATGGCGTTTTAAAATAAATGTTAAATTTATGACAAAATGTAATTACCGAAACCCCCCCTGGCCATGCCTAGACGTGCAGCTACAGGTCAGCGCTGCATGAAATATGAAACCATAATTACTTTAATTAAGCAAAATGGCAGAGCGAGGGGCGTGGCATTGATTGAGCATATTTATTAAATGGTTATTATTGCACGCACATCGCCCAGCAATAAATTGATGCATTTTAATTAACGTCCAGTCCAGCCCGCGTCTCGCCACAGGCTCCACCACAAGCTCATATTTACATATGTATGTACATTTACATTTGTACATTTACATACATATTTGAACCACACGTCATCGCTAGGGATTGAGTTTGAAGATTTTCCAAGCCAGCCGTTGCATTACGTTTCTGTTTCTGCCTTCAATTGCATCACCTTTGCAAATAGACATGACATCAATCTGCGCTTCAGTCAGAAGGCTTGGGACAAGTATGTACATATGTATGTACATATTTATGCACCTATGTTTGTACCCTTGCAATCGAAACCGCATCGACGTCAAAAGATATCATTCGGACAGCAGCAATAAACCTGCAACAACATTGCCAGGTGCACAAGTAAATAACCTAAATGGTAAACAGACTTTTCCACGAATAAAAATCTGATAAGCCGAAAGAAAGGAAAGCAATAATACAAACACAAAAGTTCATTTTTAAATTTGATTTATTCATATGCAAAGCTAGGCATGGGTACATTTATATTACATACACATAAATGTACCCATGTACATCCATTTAAATGCTTTGATATGTATCCATTGAAGGCGGCTACATCCTTAGCTGAAATGCACATAGAAAATGTCAAACACCTTTCGAGGGACCACAATTTATGCACTTACATATTTACATATTTATGGTAAATAAACAGCAGCACAACGACGGCCAATAACACAAATACATTAAATGCAATTACTATTTGATGGTCCCGCACAAACTGAATCATCTTTAGCACCTGGACGCGCTGCGAATTAAAAATCAACTCAAAAAGGGAACGTTCTGCTCCGTCCAGTTAGCACAAATGACTGACGGGCGAGATCGCTGTCGTGTTCAATCGAAAACCAATGAGCCGACGTAAGGCTGCTTTTCGTGGCCCACACATTGATGTACAGGTGTGGATCAGAGAGAGGATCACAGTGCCCGACTTCGCCTGTTCGTGTTTACGTCTTACTCGTCTCTCCCTTCTTTTGCCTTGCACGATCGTCGCTGCATGAGTGGTGCAGAGTTTGAACAAAGGTTTTGTGTTGGCGAACAAATCTGTTGTTGCATTATATTGGAACTGAATGATGGAAGTTGAAGTGTTTCCACCGCCACAATATGAAGATGGAACAAGCGGTCATCATGCATAGAAGAGCGTCAGGTATGCCGGTACTTATCGGTAGATAAGGAATCCAACTCGCCTAGTCTTATGAACAAGTGAAGTAAGTAGAGGTAGTTAAGGCGCATCAGACTGATCTTTCAAAGTAGTAAATGAATACCCTTCGGCGCCTGAATGCGACAGAATCTGTAAAAGATGAAACTGATGAGAGGGAGGTCATTCAAGAAATGCATTCCTTTCGCTTACCTTTAACATGGGGGAAGTAAGTACTATCGTCAGTGTTCAAACTCCAATTCCCTGGCCACGTCCATCAGTTGAAGAGGGGAATCATGACGATTTTGCTGCCAAGAACCACTCTGATCAGGCTTGCCTGTTAAATTATTCAAACAACTCATTTAATATTCGATGGGGGGGCGGGATTCTCAACGAATCTTTTTATTTTGCTGGCCTAAACTCACACATAAATACATACACATGTTTGTAAATACTTAGCACAGAATTGAGCTCCCATTTGAATTGGGATTTGTGTAGAATTGGAATTTACAAAATCTAATTGCTGACTGACTGACTGATCGTGGTGCGTCATCATCTATCTATACTATAGAAAATAATAATAATTGCAGCATCATCATGTGTGTGTGTGGCTACAAAACCGGCTTATTGCTTTACACTGCAGAAGCTCACTGCGAACATGACAGGGTATGGGTGCCGAGCCCTGAACTGCCGAAGCCACACTAAGCTCTGCTGCTTTTATACATTCGACAGTGCAAATACAAGTAAACATACTAAGGATACTTTTGGCCTAATTTGATTAATTTATAATTATGTTTTCTGTGGTTCGTTTGATGCTTTAGTTGAGGTGAGAGGCTGCACCACGAGTTGGCCCTGGGTCTGCGCACATAATCGTATTTAAAATGTCTTATTTATTCTATACACATTTTGAAAAAGGCTTGCGGTTTGGTCTGTTTGAAGTGTTAATTGTTCCATTGATTGACTAAAGTACATTTGGGGCATGAGTACAACAAAATGCATGACACATTTACAGCGCGTCTCGCAGCTAGAAGACAGCAGTTGAGGTTTCTACAATATAAAATACATAAAATACGTATTCTTTGTGGCATATTCCACAACATACAAGCTGTCTTATAGCTTTGAGACGTACCGAGTTCAGTTCAACAGATTCTCAATGTATTTTCACATTAGACTTGAAAACTTTCCATGAAAACTTGATTTACTTTCTTGGACAACACAAAAGAGCGCGTGAAACCGAGCTGCTGAGTGGGTTAACATTGCCGCCAGTCAGGTTCTTGCGAGTCAAAACTCTAAGTACAACAAACAAAATTGAAACCGAAATCTAAATGCAAATGCTCTATGAGTTTCACATACGATTAATTTGGTTGATTGGTTGATTGATTGATTGATTGGTTACGTTACCATGCAGGCAAGACTTAGAGTTAGTTCATATATACTTTTAGAATAATCCTTTGCTTCGTTCCGTTTACTTAAGAACTATGTAAATATCTCTGCAATTAACTACGAAAACAAATTGCTCCTCTCCCTTAGGGCCTGTTGTCGAAGCCCGCAAAGTCCGAGGCCTCCGATTCGTCGTCGTCCCGCTCCACGCCGATGCAGTGGATGCCCGTGCGCAGCATGGGCGTTCCCTTGCCCTTGCCCAGCACCCGGGCGGCAATCACCAGCTGCAGCAGCTCCTTGGCATTGCTCGCGCTGACAATGTGCAGCACCTCGCGCAGCAGCTTCTCCTTGTAGGCAAAGAACTCGATCTTCATCTCGAAGAAGTCATGCTCGTCGTGCTTGGTGCCAGCGAACTCTGTTATACGGCAATGCAGATTCGGTGTGGCGCTCACAACCGGCACGAACTTGCTGCCCGGCGCTCCCGTGTTGCCAAACACCGTTGTCGGCAGCTTCAGGTCGATCAGATAGCGATGACTGATCTGCAGAAAGCCCAGACTGACGGCGATCGTGTCGCCCGAGCGCTGATATGTCACACAGCTGTCCGACTCAAAGCCATCGGACTTGACCGAAGAAGCATCGAAATGGACATGATGATCTGCAAGAAGAGAAACCAAATTCCATTAGAAATTTGTTACAAGAAAAAGTCGAGATTGTAGGCAGCCGAAATTCCAGCTATAAACGCTGCATATTTGCGGCTTGTAAGTGTACACAAAACTTAATTGAAAATGAGAATTCTATTTGTTAAACAAGCAGATTGGACGAAGTAAAAAATTGTGCACACTTTCCCGGAAATAAGACGCCACCAGCCACAGCCGAGCGGAAGCGGGGGGGGGGGGGGGGGGGGGGGGGGGGGGGGGGGGGGGGGGGGCGAGAGTCAGGTGGATATAAACATGAGTATTCAGAGTTGAACAAACAATTGGGGTGTGGGGCACTGGCAGTGGCAAACAACAGTCTCGGGTCGCGCTTCTCCTACTCCCACCGGCCCCACGGCATTTGAGTAGGAAATCGCGTGTAACCTTCCTAATTAAACGCGTCCACGGCCCGCTCCAGCACTGCCTGTGCTTAAATCGCATTAAAATTAGGTCAAAAGCGGGTAGGGGGGCAGGCCAGCCCTGCACTCGTGTTTCACGGCGACTGTGGAAGTGAATTTATGAATAAAGACGAAACCATAGGCTGGGATTTTAATTGATGTTCAGGCCAGAGAGAAGCTGATGAATGATCAGCAGAGCAACAGCCAAAAGAATTCGTAGAGGGAGAGATATTTTCACACTTTAAGAGCGAATAAATAAAGCTAATAAAAGCCTAAAAATGTGATCTACAGCAAATTGCTGGACACCCTTTTATTAGCGTCTTCGAAGCACGTTCGACTGGTCTCAGATGATCCATTATTCGGACGTACTTCCAGCCCGCCCTCGTGCTACTCATAAATCACAATCCAAATTAGCGTACACCTGAGACGCGTACAACTCTAAATGGATAACTAAAGTGGCTGCGCTGTACAAATACAATTAACAAATTGCTGGGCTGTGGCACATGCTTAGGCAGCAATAAAAACTTCGACAGCCTAACGGACATCTAATCGGGCATCCAAGTAGCACCAGCAGAGTGGCATGGAAAGATCCAAATAGTTGCACAATTAATCATGGCCTATTGCCTCAGTCGAATACAATATTTCACGGGGGCCCCGACAAAAGTCTTTTTGCTGTTCTATAAATAAAATTCGTTTGGTGTCCGCCCTGGCACTCACATAAATATTGTGTGTTTTGGAAAGTTTGTTATTTTGGGAGCAACGAACAAACAGTGCGTTTCAGCAGCATATTAGCCATTCATATTATTATAGATCATTTATACAATAATTAAATATGGAATTAAATCTAAGGATGATCAATTCATGACTGGCATATCTATCGACACCTTTGCTTTCATTCATATTCCCTCTGCTACTTCTGATACGCACTGTAGTGTTAGCTGTGAAAGCAAAACCTTCAGATATTTTTCATTCTGTTGTCACTCTGCAAATGAAATTTCTGTACACATTTTTTTGTCGGTTTCTGCTTTATGCCGCTATTTGTTTACTGGCTGATCGCCCGCTCAGCAGATCCGTCCGTCATATTGGTAATTCAATTTTTGCATTTTAATTTGCAGGAAATGTTGACAATAAAAATGATGTTTTGCTGCCTCATGTAAAAAATTGTAACAATTTTCCGGTTCTTCATTCGCTAGATGTAAGCAATTTTTTATTGTAATCCAACTTAATCTGCTTCAACAAAGGAAAGGTAGCGACCTGAGACCTGAGACCCAACGACACTCGAGACCTTTCAATGTCGATTCATCCAAGCAAAGTGCTGCCCTCCCTCCCTGTACGCGACCTCTCCCAAGTGTCGAGATTGTTGTTATTTTTATAAATTTCATTTAGAGTCACGCTCCCAGGCATTGCCACACGCAAAGCGCACAGCAAGATGGCAATCTGTAGATGGAGAGATGAGTCTCTCTCTCTCTCACGTGCCCCCAATCAGCATTGATTAATCATTAATGAAATCTCAAATTGTTATTGTTAGAGATATACATTTTGGGCCATCTTTTGGGCCAGCTTTATTCCATATTTTCATATTTCTATATAGACAAATGATTTGTTGTCCGTCTGAGCGTTTGTCTCTCAATTGATTTCAATTTGAATTGCTTCATTTATTCAAAGCATATTCTAAACGAATGTCTTCAGTTGGGGCATTGAATATTGAATCATATAAACACCGATCTGCCACGAAATCCAAAGACTGTGTCCAGTTTTTGTCGGTGTTCCTGCCAGGTCTTTCATAACTAATTCAGCTTTGCCAGCCGGAACAGCCATGTGTGGGGCGGGATGCCATAAAAAGGCAGCTGTACAGTTGCTGTCGTACGTGCCAAACAAAATATGGCTCAAGCTTTGACCGCAGGGGCATGCACAAGCCTGCATAACAGAATTGTGTTCTATGCTCACGAAAATGTACAAATCAAAACAAATGCAAAGGTGTCGTGTCGACCCAACGGGACAAATATCAATCACAGAAACACATCGGCGGCTGCCCAGCGGGGTGTTGTGGGGGGATAGAGGCCAAACAATGTGCTCGGGGGCGGGAACGGTCCCACAGTCCCGCAGTCCCAGTGCTATAAATAGCACAACACATGTGCATTATACAATTGCATATCACTTTATAGAAATGGCAATAAAATAATAGAATACCATACAATAAGCAACGAAAAACCACTGCCAGCTAGCGTTGGGTTTCTATGCAAACAATTTAATTAACCCAAAAGCCCAGGGATTGAGGGGGGATGTGGGAACTGCACTGGTCGTGACGTTGAAAGTGTAATCTGTGGGTGGGCGCTAAATGAATTGATAATTACGATGGCTCGTGAGATGTCCAACAAATGATAGCAGGTGCTAACTCACGACCAATTTGTGTGAGGTGTGTGGAGAGGGTAGTGCACATTGGTGACTTTTGAACACTCTATAGATCAGCACAGAAAATATCTGCACTCTTAATTCACTTTGTGCAGTTCAGCCAAAGCAGTTGCTGTGTCGGTAAGTAAGTATCTCAATCAGAAGAGAGCGAGCGAAGTTAAGTGAGTTAAAGAGAGCGTTTGCTCTCTCAATCCAATGTCATTGACAGCTACAGCGCGTAAAGAGAGCGACCGTTCGAGATCCTGCTTAACTTGAAGAGAACAAATTAGATTGCGCTCTTCACACCCTCAGACAATTTACAGCTACTTTACTTGCACAATAAATTCAATGGAGCTCTCCCCCACACCTCCCTCCCGCGCAGAGAGCACACTTCAAACTGTCCCACAGAGTGCGATAAACCGTAATTGATGAAAGTGTATAAAAAGCAAAAGGAAAATTATTTATATGGCAGACGACAATTCATTAACGTTTTGCCTGGCAGCGGGGGGTGCGGTGCGGTGATCATAAATAAAAACTAATCTACGACAATTTAAGAATGCTTCTATCAAATGTTTGAGCCTGGGCTTTGTGCCTCCACCGATAAGAGGGGCCCGCAACGAGTCACGCGAATTGCGGCATAGAGGAAAAAAAAATCATCGATTCCCCCGGTAAATGTCATGAATTTAGCATTATGGGACGCAGCGAAAGCAGGGAATGGAAAGGGGGCGGGGGATGAGAGCCACATTGAAAATTGGCTTAGGTTTGACCATGAACAAATATTATTTTTAATATTGCGACAGAAAAGCAGGAAAATGGCCAAAGAACAACAATGAACGTTGGAGGGCAGCAGAGCGAACAAGAGCGGCAGACGAAGAGAGATGAAGAGAGGGAGAGAGGCAGAGATGAATGCGTAAATTTCAACAAGAAATGTTGAAATGTCTACCAGTAGCGGACTTTGCACCAATTATTCCTCGATGTATCACTAGGCAACTGCTAAATACCCTTGCAGTACCAGCTACCGATCAGCCTTACTGCTTGCAGGCATAGAAGCAAGCAGTCCCATCTCGTGGCAGGGAGAATGAAAGTAGGGCGAGAGCAGGACAGAAATCGGAAGAGGAGGGGGAAAAAAGTATCCGAGGAGAGTACAGCTAGAAAGAAAAGAAAAACGTGTCAAAGCAAAAAGGAAGCAGATCCATCAACCACGTGACTAAAAGAGAGCGACAGCGAATGGCAACTTGTGAGAGCGAGAGAATACTCTACCTTTTGCAAATGAGCCTTGCAAGGAGGCAGCTCACACACACACACACACGCACACAAACTATCGCAAAAATGCATTCAGCAAAAGGTCAAATGGGAACATTTGTCCCACTTCTTGATCTAAATTTAGCCAAAACCCTTGACAAATTCCAATTAAACACACAAATCCCTTCGGAACCCTCTCCTAGGAAGCACACAAATCCACTGCCGGCTTTGGGTAATGTTACTTTAAGGCACTTTTTCTCAAGTCGCAGCTGGGCGGGGTAGCGGCGCCCGCTAATCATAATCTCATTTTGGCTTAGAGCACGCCACTTAATGGCCAAGCAAATATAGACCGAGTAAGCACACACACACACAGGTGCACTTTTGCTGTAGTAGTAGTAGTTACCTTGATGATCCGCAGCGGCTTCGTCGCACATTTTGTTGCTCTTCTAAATGCCTGCTGATTGTTGATTGTATCTCGGGAGTTGCGTCTCTTTTTATCACAAACTGAATTAAACTGGAAGGCGCGTTCCTCGCAATGAATGAAAACAGGCGACGCCTGAGAGTGATGAGCTTTTAAAGAGCGTCCAGAAATCGCGTTTTCCTTGTAGTTCCACAGGTCCAGTAGCTACCTCTATTATTTATTAAATTTGTTTACAATTAAAAATCAACGAAGTTGGACCGGGAGCGTTTTTGTTGTGTCGGGCGGGCGGCAGTGTGACCGCGGAATTATCTATAAAATATACTGCATGTTCCTCAGAAATATACCAAAACATGCCATGTCATTTTCAAAATATACCGTATATCCTACATCAATTCGGTAGATTTTTATGTTCCTCTTAATATTAACAGCTAGTTTGGATTCTCAGAGCTAAAACTATTATTTTATCCGGTGGATGAATCAATTCCGCATAAGAGTGGCTAGTTTTCATGACAACTTCTTATTTTATTGTATATAAAAGAAGGATCAATGTAAAAGGCCAATCAAAAACAAGAGCATAAAAAGCGTAATATCGATATGTACTTTTGGTAGACAATATATTTTTAGGTAATATTTTTTAATAATGTTATACTTTTTATGAAAATGCAACAATTAAAACTATTTTTCTAATTTTTTGAGTCTTTTGATGTTGGTCTTATCGATTCATAAAACATCGGTATTTATGTGCGATGAGCGAAACTATCGGCGTTTAATTTTGAAAGTATCAATCACATCGTGTAAACATGCCATCGTTTTTATGGAGAAAAGATTAGGCAGTTACCCAATTAAAATTAACAGCGACCTTAGCATTATCAAATTTCTGGTTTTCCACAACTATATACATCCAATTGCCAAAAAATGCCGCCTTCCACAGCACACTCTACCAAAAGCTAACAGACACACCACCATTGCCACTTTTGCTGGCATTTTTAGGTAATTTTCGTGAGTAGCGCTGCCACCCCCGAGCAATATGAGCTGCCAGACCAGCTAAAGTATATATTTTTACAAAATGGTGGCTTCTCCTATATTTCTTGCGCGGAGAAATTCGTTGTAGCAGCGATTACGAACAAAAACCACGCATTTTAGCCCAAAACTAATTAAAATTATAGTGCTAAAACACTCACAGCAACGGTGGCTGTCCCGTGTGGCTGGAATACGCGTGTGAAAGTCAATGCGGAGAGTGCACAAAGCAAGTGAAAATTGTATTTCCATCGTTCGAGTAGCAAAAGCAGCAGCAGCAGCACAGAGCAATAAAAAACGCAAGCAAGCATAGTGCGTGTGTGTGTGTTCGTGTTTGTGTACGTGTGTGTGTATGTGCATGTCGATTATGTGAGTGTGTGTGTGTGTGCGCAAAGTGTATGCAAAAAAGAAGAAGAAAAACAGAAGAGCATTACAAAAAGTAGAAGGAAAAAAAACAGCGTATTGTTGGTCGTCTGACGACGAGTTTCACGCGCCCAACAGCACCAACAAAAGCAAAGCAACAAAGATAGAAAGAGATAGAGAGAGGAGAGTGAAATAGAGAGACAGGCAAAACGAGCGAGAAAACGTAAGGAAAATCTACAACAAGTGTGCGAAAATTAATTATTACTTAAGTGTGTCACTAATTTCATTTGGAAAACGTCAAAGTCGTTGTCGTCGCTGTCGTCGTTGCCGTTGCTGTTGCCGTTGCCGCAGCAGAAGTTGCGCAGCGTCGAAATCGAAACGCGGAATTGAGGAGAAAAAGAGAGAAAGAAGAGAAGGCCCTGTTGATGGTTAGTTTCCTCGCAGCGGGGGTTTCCAGGGGGTCAGACAGTGGAGTCTATTGCAATTTTTTTTATTGTTTTGGGGAGGCGGGGGTAGCGTAACACAAACCCCAGTCAGGCGACAAAAGATACGGACGGGCAAGAGGCTCAACAAATTTCCTGAAAAGGAATCACAAAGCGCAGTAGTAGCATCGGCAGAGGAAGAGGACGAGAAGCAGCAGCAGTGGAGGAAGCAACAACAAAGCAAAGCCAAGCGTCAGCAGCAGCAGAAACAACAACCCACCACCGTCATGACCGTTTGTCGTCGGCGTCACCGTCACCACCGACGCGTCGCAACGACGCTGCCATTACCACCGGCCACCCCAACCCACCGTACGGATGCTCCTTGCTCCTGTCCCTGCTCCTGATTTTCGCTGACGCTGCCAGCAGAAGAAACACACAAGAAAAAAACTTAAAAGATTTTTATATGTAAAAATATTTTTGCATTGTTTTCCCAGAAGGCGGTTCTCCTTCTGTTTCTCTCTGTTTCCCTCTCTCTTCTGTTACGTTTAGTTTCCAGTTTTTTTTCTGTTGCTTTTGAACTGCTTAATCATCTTCGTCTCGGCTCTCACCTACGTCATCTCTTCGCTTTCCAGCTGTGTTTTGTGCAAATTAACCAAAATATACATTTCCGGCCGCCCGCGCCCCCTCGCTGAGCATCCAACAACCGCTGTCCCACACCCTCATCCTCTGCAATATCGTACCCTCTGTGGAGAGAGAGAGAGAGAGCGACGAGACCGTGGGCCGCCTGCTGCTGGAGCCGCTGACGCTGGGAGGAACGCCGCCTGGAAAGGGGCTCATCGGGCACATTTACCCTGGATTCATGGTGAGCCCAAGAAGAAGACATCTTCTGCCCAGCCGGGCGTATATTTAATTATTTGTTTGCCTAATTCGATACCCAATGGGTCCCCCTCCTGCACTTCCATGCTCTATGTCCCGCCCGCCCTGTTCGAGTCTCATGTGTCATCTACCCCTGCCCCTGCAACAGGCTCGAGGTCTTTGCTGGATGGAAGGGTTTCTGGGTTAATGGAGGAAACTATTTTTCAAGCGGATTGCCCTCAACGGAATCACTTCAAGTGGGGGGGAGAGTGCTACTCATGAGCACTTCACAAGGCTCTATATAAGAGCTTATACGACATGTGGAGGAGGAGAAGAGTATAATTAGTTGTACATATACCAGAATTTCTGTTCATTTCTGAGAAACATTTACCAGATAAGAAGCCAGGGGCCCCACTCAACTGATCTAGATCTTTATCGCGGTACTTAAGATATGGAGTATCACTCTAATGAGGCACCATTGTATCGCAATTATAACGATCTGTCTGCAAAATGAGAATATATAGTTGAGGAAAGTATTATAATTATTAATCATAAACCCACACCCCGCTTATTGTAGTAAAGAATTTACAGTAAAATCTGCCGCTGGTTCCAGTGCAGCTCTGTTACTAGTTCCATCTTGCTCTTGCTGCTGCCATTATTGCCATTCTCTGTGTGCGCTTCCATTACTCTTAAGAGAAGAGAAGGAAGAGAGTTCTCTTCGAATGATCCACATTTACATTTTGCAATTGGATCGAAAAAAGAGAGAGCAGAGATATTGCACGTCACCTGATATTTACTTTGTCTTGAGCGAAAATCTCCCACCGACTCTTGTTCTTATGAACTCTTAGCATTATCTCCCGCCACCTGATTTCCTCGAAACCTGAACCAGTGCCACAGTGGACCCACCCTTGCGACACATTAAGATCAATTTCGAGGAAATACCCTAACAATTTGCAACGCTTATCTCGGCCCGAACCGCCCATTTCCATTTCTTATCTCTCTACCCCGCCCTTCACAAGTGCGTGTACCGTGAGTGCAGAGGCAGAGCGGAGTAAAAAGAGAGTTACAGCCGCCACCTGATTAGAGTCGCATAAAACAAAAGCTGAAGTGTTTAATTAATAAATAACGTGCTAATAATGCATTTGTTACAAAAAACGAACCAGCTCGGTGCACAAATGGAATGGAAACAGGGAAACAATACAGCAACAACAATAAAAACAACAAAACAAAAAATACATAAAATGGTGTTGAAAAATGAGTGTTCCCCTGCGGTCTGCCTTCCCTCTGCTGCGCCTCCAATGAGGCCAATGGATGGGTAGCCTCGATTCGGTTCGGTTTTGCTTTTTATTCGTTTTTAGTTTTTTTTTTTTTGCTGTTTGTTGAAAAGTATTTTTCGTGTTACACAGTTGTTGGATAGCCTTTGATGTCGGGGTTTTGGTGCGCTCTTTCATATTTTTTTATTATTAGTCATTTGGCTTATTTATAATGTGCCGTTAAAGTTTAACTTTTATTAATCTGCTCGGTTGCGCTTTTAATTTATAAATGCTGCTTATCTGATTGAAATGTCCGTCCCACTCAGCCCACTCGGCCCACTCGAATCGACTCGAGTGTCGATTTATTGATGTCGATTAGAAATCAACGAAACAGCTTGCCCTGCCTCTATGCCTCCCATCTCTAGCACACCTTGCAGTGTAGTGGTGGTGGAGCGGGGGTTCTCGTTCCTCTTCCTTCCGTTCTCTCTCCATTGCATAAGAGAATTAATTATCGTTTCTGGACTGAGTTGCTAAGCGGCTTGATCTGAGGCTGAGCTAAGCTATCTCAAAGTGTAAACAGCCTCAACTTCACTAACAGCGATGAGTGCGTGAGTGGGCCGCGTGACACAGTAGTTTTATAGGCACATTTCGTGTGTAATAATAGTAGATACGGGGAATAGGTAAACACTGATAAAACACACCTCAAAAAATTATAAAAGTGCCTCATCAGCTATTTTAAGATTGTTTTATTTGTTAATTATGAAGTACATAATGTCATAGGAATGCAGGAGACTTGAATACTGGAAGCCAAGTTAAGTAAGGTAGACCTTTCACGACCTCTCACGCTATCACCTCTGGGCAAACACTGAACTAAATCAATCCCAGTTACTCGTTTGCTGCTACGTGTTAACTCCATTTAGCGATAAGATAATTAGCACACACAAAGTGCTTATTAAAATATATGTATGTATGTATGTGTATGCATGCACAAAGAGCCGAGCGAGATATTTGTGGGTCTGGGCTGGGCTGAGTAGAGCTGTCTGTTGTCAGCCTTTTAATATTTATTTTCTCTATATTTATACTGTACAAAAAAAGAAAAAGAATTTAAGCTCTTGTTAATCAGTGTTAAATCAATGAGCCGTGGCCGGGCCCAAAATAGGTGAGAATATAATGTAAGAGCGTGTTAAATGGTGCCATAAATCTTTGGCCTTGGGTGTAATTCGATTATGGAGAGAGGGTAACTAACGGTGGAAGGATAAGAGAACGCGCGTGGAAGGAGAGTGGCGCGCAACAACAGTTTCACATGCAAACAGCTCATTTAAACACTCACACAACAAATAAAGACAGTTCCATAAACACTAGATGAAAAGGGACAACAATAAGGACGAGAAATAACAACAGGCTAAAAGGAGAAGAAAAGAATGTAAAGAACGAGCCGCAGACACATGGCACCCTTACCCCTTACCACTAATGTGCCCCTTCAGACGACAGACAAGAGACAAACACATCCCGACATATAAGTAACACGAAACAATTTCCAAATGAAGCGCGGATAAGCCGCAAAATCCTTAAAATACTCGATAAAATTACATAAAACTAATCGCACACACACACGCAGAGTCGGAGACAGGCAGATAGACAGACGCACACACACAGCACAGCAAAAGAAGAGAATTGGCTGGATGGGACTTGGGACCGTGACTACTGCTGCTGCTGCTGCGAGAGGGGGACGGACAGACAGTTGAGTGGCTGCTGGCGGTGGGTAACGGGAAGCCAAAGTGCGAGCAAATGGGCAGAGGAGAGGCGACGGCGTGCAAAATGATGAAGGTATCTACACCGACAATCTGTTTAACAACTTCATGAGCAAATCCAACAAATCGTATGAAACGAAGCCGACAGCAGACACGACACGACAGACGACCCCCGTTCGGATCGGTTCGGATCGGGCCAATGGATGCGCACAGGTTAGCGAGAGCTTGGTTAAAGGGGGGCTATGGTGTGCTTGGGTGCGGTATGGGGGCCGCCAGCGTTGTGGGTCGTTTATTTGGCTTTTGGAACGTTGACTCGTCGTCGAAGGTTTATTTATAAAAGGTGAGGTCTTTCCGAAAAGTACTCTGGAGATAGTTGACCACTTTTGTTGCAGACAGTCATTAATACCTCACCCTATAAAGTATATACAATGGACTCGTCGTCGTCGTCTCGTCATCATCTTCATCATCATCATCATCATTGCCGGCGGCGACTACGAGCGACGACTGACGACGGCGATGCTGCTTGAATAGATGCTCAATCGTTTGGGTTGAATGAAGAAAAGCATATAGAGTTGCATCAGTGTGTGTGTCTGGCAGAGATTGGAGCATGAATAGGAATGTGATGTGATGTGGGGGGGAAGCAACAAAGAAGCTGGAGGAGCATCGTGAGTGCCACTGCGGTGGCATAATGTTCTTGTTGATGTTGAGTAATGGGCATAACAACTGTAAGCTGGGATGCCGCCTGTCCAGACCTACTACGACTAGTAGCTATACGTAAAACTGGAACCGACCGACCGACCAACCGACCCGACCCGACCGACCGAGCAAGCAGTCGAAAAATGTCTGAGCAGAATCACACACAATTCCATTACTCGGACGGAATACTGGTGGCTCTACTAGCCAAAAGAAAAGAGAAATTTGTTTTATGACATTTTGGTTAAACGGCCAGAGCCAAAAAGAGAGTCTACTCTCTCTCTCTCTCTCTCTCTCTCTCACTCTTTTCTCGCTATCTCTATCTCTATCAGTGTGCCCCTACTTTACTAGCCTTTGTTTGCTTCTGTGCCCCTTCGGCAACCTCTGTTTTGACTTGTGAAAATTTGGCTTTCACAACACGAACCAACACGTACACATAGTTTACCCGACGTATACGTACGTTTGTACATACTCGTACATACATTTTAAGTACAAATGTACATACATATATTCGTACGTATGGACATGGCTCGGCAAAGTGCCTACCAACCAACATTTAATGGGATTTCCGTACTTGACACGAACCCTTCAAATAGACAGATGCAGGCACCGTTACTGAGAGGTATGCTATGGCATGAGGTCTGGGTTTGGTATGGAGAGTAGAGTGCACGGCTTAATAGACCAGCTTTTTGTTGGTTGTTGTTGGTTTGCCCCTGGGGAATGCGTTAGTGTTGGTCACTTTGGTTCGGTTCGGGGTTTTGGGTGTATATTACAGTGGTTCCGTTTGCCTGAACGAACCAGACAATCAATTGTTTATTTGATTTACAGCGAGGCTATAACCAAACCATTAACAGGAATAGAAGAGCATTTTCAGCACCATTTTATTTTGGAATTCGTCAGAGTTGTTCGAGTTTTAGGTACATGTTAATGGGTTGGTTTATGTAAAGCAGCCAACAGATTTACCATAAAATGAACAAAATTGAATGCATTTGTTCCTGGTGGGTAATTATTCAGTCATTTGAGTCCTTTGTTCTGCGGCCATGTGTAATTCGGTATTTCTAGTTAATTTTGTGCCAAAGCGGTTTATTTATTCCTTTTGTAAGAGGAAAACAATTGAATGAAATACCAAAGCAAAGATCGATAATACAACTGGGGGCCACAATTGGAGTCAGTTGAGTAGTTCCACTTTCACAGTTCCACTCAATTGAGCAAGTTTATAGTAGAGCGAATGAACCAATGCTAAGTTTGCGATAAACAACCCCCAAGAATGATATACCCCTAAATGAATGCCCCTACCTTCTTATGGTCGACTAATTTATTTACTGCTATATCACTTAAATTTCTCCATCAGCCGGGGACTAACCTAATAATCTCTCGCCGAGCTGGGGTGGATTGGGATGTTGGTGATGGTGATGGTGATGGCGATGGTGGGGCAGCAGATAAACTCTCAAGTTTATGGGCCACCCTTAATGTACAGTTACGGCGCATTCATCTGGCGGCAGTGGAATTTTAAGTTGTCTGTTCCCTGCCTACTACTACTGCCTGATGTCTGGCTGCTCTTATTAACGCAGCGTGCTCTCTTACGTAGTTGTTGCTGTTGCTGCCTGCTGCCTATTTGTCAGTCAATTAGTCAGCTTATTGGCAAGCGATGATTGCAGACAGAGAGAGAGAGAGAGAAAAACAAGCTACGGCTAAAGCAAAGGAGAGTTGGAAAGCCAGTTAGCCGACAACAGCAGTCGACAGCTTTTCCATTTCAAAATTACACTCGGCACACGAACACTCACACATACACCCAGGAATACTCTTATAAAGAGAGCAAGAGGGAGCGAGACAAGCAGACACACGGATAGGGAAAGAGGCTAAAGGTAGATTCAATGGAAGGTAAGGCAAGTCATGGCACCCGCAATACCCGGTCATGGAGTTTATTCAGTTTAAAAATATTTAGTTACTGAAAAACATTTCATTGCCAGTCTCCATTACTATTTTCCAGTTAATATACCCTGCTCAGACTTTGCCTTGCCTGACTGTCTGCCGCACCTCCCCCCTCTTTTATTCATTCACTCGCGTCCGTTTAGCCGCGTGCGTACACACAATTTTCCGCTACTCATGCTACAAATTGTTTATTGAATTTCCTCTTTCTGTGGCTCATGTCGACAGCGTTGCCACGCCGTTGTTGTTGTTGCTTGCTGCCTGCTCTCCAAGTTTTTATTTTCATTTACATTTCTCGCTTTGTTTTCGTTCATGTTTATGGGCTGTTTAGAAAACAATTTGCCACGCCGGGGTGGAGACGGCGGGCCACCGCACAGCACATTCACAGCACACAGCACAGGCCATTGAGTGGGGAGCAAGAGAAACGAGTTGTTAATCTGATGGAACTTTATAATACGCGATGACATTAATTGAGAGACAGACGGACACGCCAGTTGAAATTGACAGCATTATTGGCCTTAAATTTGCACGCAGGTCAGCAAGTCCCTCGTCCGTGGATGAAGAATAGCAGGAGGAAGAGAGAAACGAAAAGAGGAAGAACCATAGCCAGAGCAACAACAGCAAAACAGCTTGGCTGGCTGCTGACTCACAGAGTACTCGAAAACGTCACGTAGTCAATGTACAGACTGCTCTCGCTCATGCTCTCTTTTCAGTTGCGCTATCCTGCTCTTGCTCAGTGGTGCCTGGTGGCCTCTCAGTGCGGCTCTCCTTTTCAGTGTGTGCCCTCTCCCTTTCTCCCAGTGTGCCATAATTTGTGGTCTTTTAGGGTAAGAGTGTGTGGAAGGGAGGCGGAAGAGCCGGAGAACGGCACTTTTCGGTGGTGGCAAAATGTGGCTCTGTTCGAGCCTTTCGTTTTGTCTTTTTCAGATTTTATGGCTTTGTGCGTTTACAACGTCGCTTTTTGTAGTACATTTGTTTTATAACAGACCCCGCCGACATACCGCTCCCTGGGCCCAGAAGCTACCACAGGCAGAGCCAACGCAGAGACCCAAAGACAGAGAGCCCAGAGTGCCAGCGGGAGAACAGCAGAGAAACAAAAGAGCTTAGCACACTGCTTGCAGTTATTACACAATTTTTCCCCAAGCGCCAGGGGCCCAGAGGCAGAAGCCAGCCAGCCAGCTAGCCCCCTTTGTCGCCCGGCAGGTGGTGGGGGTTGGGAAGCGTAGAGGGATTCAGCGGGGGATTTCAGTCGCGTGCCCTGCGCCGCCACCTTCTGTTTGTGTTTATACGAAATTTTTCCACTCACGACTCCCTCATAAAAAAGTTTTGTGCTGCCAGTTAAACCAGCAAGCAAGCAGTAACCAGCCAAGCAGTCAGACCCAAAACGGCCAGACCCAGGCCAGGCCAAGCAGGGCACAGAACAGGCCAGGCCAGGCCAGAGGAGCTGCCAACCTGGTGTGGCTGCTGATGTCGTTGATAAGTGTCGGCCCCAAAACGCAGACGACCGTTCGTTGCACAGTGGCGCAAAGTGGTGATAAAGGTTGATGAGTTTGAGGACAACTTTTTGTAATGGATGTGCCACAATAATCGCATGTCATCTGCTATAAATTTCATGGTGAAAACTTTCGCATAAATATTTTGAGAATTAAATAGTTTAAGTCATAAATTGATAGTTGGAAATCCCAAAAATGAATTTACAGTCTTAAAAGTATAGACTCGCTTTATTTGCATTGGTACAGACAACAGTTTTACCATGCATCGTAAAAGTAATCCATAAATATTTAAGTAAACTCACTTTAGGTAAGCATTTATTTATTAGGGTAACATTCTTCAGCACATATTTGCTGGGTAGTCAAACAAAAGAGGGATGAAATATTCATCCCCACGCCATAAAATGTAATGAATATTTCATACGAGTGTTTGACTTGGGGGTTACCAAAGTGCTACCGATACCACTGTGCAACCCCAGGGCTAGTCGTGTGTGTGCGTTCGTGGCCTGCGCTTTCGGTCCGCCTCCGTCGGGATCGTTGTGCAGACCCACCCGTTGCCGCTGCTTCTCTCCCTAGCTCCGCTGTCGTCAGTCATTTAGGCGGCGTGTCGTGCCTTATTGAGTGTAAATCTGTCGACAACACACACATACACGCTCATCCATACACATGTATACCTTTTTTTTGCAGTCACCGCGCGCTGGCACTGCCGCCACCGCGGTCGCTCTGTCGCTGTCGCTGCATTTAATTAATTGATTTTAATTGCCATAATTTGTGTGCCGCTGCCACACAACCGCAACACCGTCGGCATTCCTGATGAGACGTGAACGCACTGTGTGACTGTTTCCCTCTCACTCTCGGTTTCTCCCTCTCGCACTCTCTCTCTGTCACTGTGCCATGATATAGATTCATAAGCAAATTTAATGATAATTCCCCACTGTGGTGGGATGGCGTCGTTGTGGGATGGGAGATGAGATGTGATGAGAGCGATGAGAAGGCCCATGAGAGGATGCTTACTTAGCCGTTGGCTCCTCGTTACAGTTATTCGCGAAGTTACTTGAGCGGAAAATCTGTTTACAGCTGCACGCACACTTGAGAGGCAGACCCCAGTCAGACCCCGAACAAGAATAAGCAACAACAAAAAAAGAAAAGGAACGAAAGCAAAGTTGAAAAAAAACGCAAATTCGAGATAACCAAATAGCAACGAATTGCAAATACTCTTTAAACTTTTGAATGCAGATTTTGATTAGAAATTTGTTCTCAAACAAAAAAATGATCACATAATTATATCATTTTTAACCAAGACATGAATCAGATTTGGTTACAATTTTGGGGCTAAGTAGGAAGTTTTCTCCAGATATGAACCATACATACCTCTGACCAATAGTAGATCCACTCTCTGAAAGGGTACAAATAGCAGCACAAAATGATGAATGAACAAACCAAACCAAAGCATATGTGTATGTCAGCCAGTCTCACATTTTGCAGTCCCTCCCCTCTAGGTAGGCGCATTAACATATGCAAGCGATTAAGTGGCAGAGGAACTCAATCGTCCGACAGCACAAAACCCCTAATTTCCAGACCCCGTCATCCATGGCCTCCAGTTCCCACTCTCCCTTCTCAGTCTCTTATTCTCTCTCTCTCTCTCTGTGTGTTACTCCATCGTACGCACATTACATGGCATTATTTTTATGGATTATTTATTTATGCATGTTGATGTGAACTTCATCGCTTTATTGAAAAAATACTACTGGTACTCCTCCCCACACTCACCACCCCCCAACTCATATTGCCCCCATATCCACCCCACAACCCTTTCCCACCAACAGATTCGATTCGATCCGATCCGTTTTTTATGCATTTTCTCTGTGTTTTTTGCAGTTGAATTTTCATATCGTAGAGGGCATAAAAAGGCTTAACACTGGACCGGAAGCGTGTTTTTAAAGGGTGATGGCGGCCTCCACTCAAGGAGAAATTCGAGTGGGTCCCGGCCACCAGGTAAACGATGTCTATGTACGTACATAACTCTCACAAATCAGAAATTCAGCTCACGGTAACAACAACAACAAATTTTTAAAAAACAACAACAAAGAACTACAAAATTAAACAATTATGCCAAGGAAAGAACAAAAAAAAAAACCAGAAATAAAGCAGAGAGAAACTTTTTTTGTTTTGTTTGTTGATTGCAAAATTTTGTAATTTATATTCCTTTGTTCTTTCTTCTGAATTTCAATGAATTTTCTCAATATTCAAAATCTTTCACAAATTGCTTTATGGTGTGTAGTCCGTAGGCAGGAAGTACGGGAAGTAGTAAATTCAACTTCAAGAAATTGCATTTCCCAAGTACTTTTTATTGGGGGTTATAAAACTCATAAAGTGAAACAAAGATTAGCAAAGAATTCTGATAAGGAACAGCGTAATAAAATTGCTATAATTCCTATGGTTGACAGATGGTTTTAGAGAATTTTTAGCCGCTCAAATGAGGAAATATTTCTTGAGTATTGTGCTATAAGTTTGTATTTTTATCTATCTTTTTAAAGAAGGAAATGAGAGTCTACCATCTGCTATGCTTTCAGGAACATCTCAGAGTTCTAACTACTTCCCGGATAATCTTTCAACCTATAATCATTCAATAGTTGCTTCCCTACATTAAAAGGCTACACGAACAGCAATTTGTTTACTCTTTCTCTCTCTCTCTGTCTCTCTTGTAAATAACTTTTTCAACTTCTTGTAAATAACTTTTACAATTAAAGTTCTTTCCATGCAATTGGCTATCTTCATAGTTCGAGTTCTCTAATTGGTAGAAGTTGAACCAAAAAAACAAAAAAAAAAGAATCCACAGATCCCAAAATCCCAGATGACCTCTTCCCCTACCCGCTTCCAGTTCCCCCCCCCCCCCCCCCCCCCCCCCCCCCCNCTCCCAACTCCCAAGTATATCCGAATGAAATCCGTAGCACACATTATACATTATTCATACATAATCATGCATTAGTCCTAAGAATTTCTGTATCATCGTGTACGTATATCGTATATAGTATATATCGACGGAGCCTCCCCCAAAAGTCAGCCCTTCAGGTGTTGTCGTGTGGTGTGTGGATTGGTGTTTTTGTGATTGTTGTGATTGGAGATGTGTGTGCGTGTGTGTGACTAACAAATAAAATATAAAAACAAAAACAAAAAAGCTTAATTGAGCGCACCTGTCGGTCGCTCGATGAAGTTTCTTTTGCTCTATGTCTCTCTCTGTGTCTCCCCTTCTGGAGTCTTTTTAAACTAATCCCGAACATTTTTGTTTGTCTCCTATGACGACTGAAGGCAAAACTGCCCGATTATAATCCAATCTCAAGCTTCCCCATCGACAAGGAAACCGATGAACGTGAACTAGAGGAATCAAGATGGAGTCCAGGCGTTGTGGCCGATGGCGATTTGTTAATGTTCTTGCGTGCTGCCCGCTCGATGGCCGCATTTCAAGGAATGTGTGATGGCGGACTAGAAGACGGTTGTTTGGCTGCCAGTCGCGACGACACAACAATTAACGCACTCGACGTGGTGAGTACTCTCCATAATCCATAGCTTAACCATAACTAATCCATTGTTCATCCTCCTGTTTTAGCTACACGATTCTGGTTACGATCCAGGCAAAGCTCTACAAGCACTAGTTAAGTGCCCCGTTTCGAAGGGCATCGACAAGAAGTGGACCGAGGACGAAACGAAAAAGTTCATCAAGGGTCTGCGACAATTTGGCAAGAATTTCTTTCGCATCCACAAGGATCTGTTGCCGCACAAGGACACACCCGAACTGGTCGAATTCTATTATCTGTGGAAGAAGACGCCCGGCGCCAACAACAATCGTCCACATCGGCGACGCAGACAGAGCGCTTTGCGACGCAATCGTGTCACGCGAGCAAATAATAATACACCTCCCAAGAAGGAGGACACACCGGAACCACAAACTGCGACGACGGCGGCGACGGCGACGGGGTCGGCGTCAGAGACGGCGAGTCGATCATCGCCCGCTGTCTCCAAGGAGGAGAACAGCTCTCTCACCGAGGACGACGCCAGCGAGTGTGACAGTGATTCGAGTCTGACCAACAAAAGGGATGAATCACCCTCTAGGATGAGGACGCGCAATAAACAACAGAACAACAACACCAACAACAACAACAACAATACCAACAGCAGCAGCAGCAACAACACCAACAGCAGCAGCAGCAGCAGCACGGCCAGCAATAGCGGCAGCGGCGGTGGCAGTGGCAGTGGCATTGGTGCATCATCCGTCGGTGGCAGCTCTGCATTAGGCGGCGTCGGTGCAGGCGTCACTGCAGGTGCCGCGGCCACCAACAGCTCCACAAAGGATCAGTCGAACACCAACAACGCTGTGGCGAATGGCAAGCGGCCGAAGCGAGGCTCCGAGACGCCCGATGCAGCGGCCGGCGGTGGAGCCTCCTCGGTGGACAGTCCCAAGACACCCACCAAGGCAGTGGCCGAGAGTTCGGCCACCAAGCGCAAGGGCGGCAAACAGGACACGCCCAACAAGAAGAAGCGCACCGAACAGGAGCAGGCGAACGATCAGCAGGCGGCCAGCGCTGGCACGGGCGCGGCAGCAGCGGAGGAGAACAGCAGCAGCAGCCTCAAGGAGAAGCGAAAGCAGCAACAGCAGCAGCAGCAACGGGCCGACAGCCCCGTGGAGAGCATGAACTCGGACAGCAGGCCGGACTCTGCGCTGGATGATGGCGAATCAAATACGACGGACACGACCACCGCCGAACAGCAGTCCAACAAGGACAGCAAGGAGCTGCTGCTCAGCTGCAAGGAGGAGCGTGAGCTGACCGCCAACGATGGTGGACTGGAGCCCAAAACGGAGGAGAAATCCATCAAGGCGGAGCTTGCCTCGGAGGATGGCAGCAAGGAGGCGATTTCCATCAAGAACATGGACGAGGAGACGAACATCCAGGCGCCCAACAGCGTGGATGGGCTGCTGCTTAAGGAGTCTGCTGTCAGCACAATCCCACAGGATGGCGGTGTGCTGCCGGTGAATCCTGTGGCCGCGCCTCTAACCATGAAGGTGCCCACCATTGCCACCGTGGAGGCGCTGAACGCGTCCGTGGAGCGCAAGGAGGCCATCGAGAAGATGGAGACCTGCGACAGCGATCCCGAGCTGCTCAAGAAGCTGGCTACCATCAAGCAGGAGGTGACGCCACAGCAGCAGCAGCAGCAGACGCCGCAGCAGCAGCTGAATCCGATATCCATACAGCAGCCACCTGTGTGTGCGCCCACGGAGACGGTGTACATTAAGAAGGAGCCGATGGACGATTCGATGGATGCCACGTGCAATCAGAACAGCAACGAGCCGCAGGATCTCAAGGTGAAGATTGAGATCAAGAACGAGGATTCGCTGAAGCACAATACGGGTGGCATGCCGCCCACGTTGCCTGGGGCGCCCACTGCCCAAATGCATTCCCATTCGATGGCCGGCGGCGACAGTGGGCAGCCGCCACTGGGCGAGCCGCTACATCTGTCGCATCTGCCGCATGGCCAGCAGCCGCTGCAGCCACCACCCGCCAGCTATCTGATCGACGGACAACTAAAGTACGGACCCCCAGGAGGACAACAGCAGCAGCAGCAGCAACAACAGCAGCAGCCGCCACAGCCGCCGCAGCTGCACAGCGATCCGGCTGGTGCGGGTGGCAATGCTCCTGGCGGACCCAACACGCCGCAAAAGTATGCGCCCGAAATGGAGATGAAATTCACGCCGCAGGATCTCAAGTATCCGCCGCCACCGCCGCTGGACGCACTCAAGTACAGCCAGGAGATGCAAGCGGTGGCCGCTGCGGCAGCTGCTGCCGCTGCCGCCGCCGCTGCTGCTGGCAAGTACGACATGAAGTACATGATCGAGCAGCCGGGCAAGTATCCGGTGGAGCTGTCCGCTGCCCATCAGCCGCCATCGAAGCAGGGCTATCAGGATTCGCTGAAGATACCCGATGTCAAGTCGGGCTTTGGCCATCTACCGCACAACATGGCCTCGCAGCTGGATGTGGCACACAAGTATGGACCACCGCCCACGTCCCAGGAGCAACAGCAGCAACAACAGTCGCAGCAGCAGCCTGCGCATCAGGTGCCACCGGGTGCGACGCCACCGCCGGGCATTGCCATGCCCAAGCCGCACTATCAGCACGATGTGCAGACCCCGCCATTGGGTCGGCCCTTCGAGCCGGGCATGATGCACAAATACGGAGATCCGTTGGTGGGCAAATACGGTCCACCCCAGCCACAGGATCTGAAGTATCCAATGCCACCCGTGGTCTCCGCTGCCGGTCCCCCCGTGGACGTGAAGCCCTACGGCGAGAATCTGATAAAGTCCTCGCCGTACGGGCCGCCGCCGGAGAGCCCCATCGATGCCTCGTCACGCTCGACGCCGGGCCAGGACAGTCAGGGCAGCAACAGCAATTCGCAGCCCTCCTCGATGGCACCACAGCCGCAGCAGTTCCAGTCGCCGCATCCCTCGCCTCACATGCCTTCACCCGCAGGCGGCGGCCTGCCGCCCGGTATGCATCCCCAAAATCTCATCCACGGCCTGCCGCCGGGTGCGGCCGCTGGTGGCCCACAGCCACCGCCACCGCCCTCGTCCCTGCACCAGCAGCAATCGTCGAGTGGTCCGCCGGGCATGCATCCGGGCCTGCATCCGGGTCAGCACTCACAGATGTCGGTGGCCTCCTCGATGCCACCCAGCTCGATCGGTATACCGCCGACGCTGTCAACGATGGCGCCCTCGCACATGCATCCCCACATGCACCCGCATCATCTGCAGCAGGTGCTGCATCGGCCGCACGACATGCCACCGAGCATGCATCCGCACGCGCCCATGCCCATGTCCCTGCAGGGACATCCGCAGCACGGCCACGGACTGCCGCCCCAACAGCAGCAGCAGCAACAGCAGCAGCAGCAGCCCGGTGGTCCGGCGGGCACTGTGCGCACTCCCTCGCCAGCCCAGCATCCGCCACGCAGCATGCACGATCCGCAGTCGCGGGAGCAGCCGCCCACATCGCAGCCATCGACCACGATGGCTGGCTCTGGAGGTCACGGCAATCCGCACCAATCCCCGCACACGCATCGCACCTCACCGCTGCCCGGACTGGCGGGGAATGGACATCCGCCGCCGGGTCTGCTTGGCCATCCGATGCCCATACATCCGCATCTGGCGCATCTGCCGCCGGGTCATCCGGCTCACGCGGCACTCGCCCATCCCGGACACCATTTGCTGTCGCATTCGATAGCGGGACTGGGGCCTGGCGGTGGACCCATCGCACTGCTCGCGGGTCCCGGTGGACTGGGCCTGCCCGAGTCCGCACTCAGTCGTCGCACCCCGCCCAGCCATATGCCCCACTCGCACGTCTCATCCGCACCGAACACGCCCCATTCGGTGGCCTCGATGACCTCCAGCAGCATGGCCCTCACCACCAGCACGGTGCCGTCGTCGGCCTTCAGTCGTGCCAGTCCCAGCGTACAGATCTCGAGTGGCGGAGCTGGATCAGCCGGACCTGGCGGCAGCGGCAGCAACAGCACGCCTGGCGGCAACAACTCCTCGGCAGCGGCGGCAGCAGCAGCAGCAGCGGCTGCCCATCGAGCTGCCTCCCCAGCCAGCAGTGTGAGCAGCCTGAGTCGCCAGAGTCCACTGCATCCGGTGCCACAATCGCCGCTCAGCCATCATCCCTCATCGTCTGCCCTGTCGGCGGCAGCGGCGGCCGTGGCCGAGCGGGATCGCCATGCGCTGCTGCGTCAGCAGTCGCCGCACATGACACCGCCACCAGTGTCGAATGCCTCGGGACTGATGGCCAGTCCGCTGAGCAAGATGTATGCCCCGCAGCCGGGCCAAAGGGGGCTGGGAACATCACCGCCGCCGCATCTGCGACCGGGTGCCTCGCCGCCTGTCATCAGGCATCCACAGATGCCGCTGCCATTGCCGCTGATTGCGCCGGGCGGCGGCATTCCACAGATCGGAGTGCATCCCGGGCAGTCGCCGTATCCGCATCCGCTGCTGCATCCGTCGGTGTTCTATTCGCCGCATCATCATCCCTTCAACTCGCCCTACGGCTATGCGCCGTACGGGCCTGGTTTCCCGGCCTACATGAAGCCACCACCACCGTCGGGGCCGTTGGATCCTGCCGCTGTAATGGCCGCCCATCATGCCGGACTCCAGGGTCCGCCGCAGCAGCAGCAGCAGCGGCAGGATGAGCAGAATGCAGCAGCCGCTGCTGCGGCGAGAGATGCAGCCGAGAAGCAGCACCACCAAGCGGCGGTCGCAGCGGCAGCCCAACAGCAGCAGCAGCAACAGCAGCAGCAACAACAGCAGCAGCAGCAGCAGCAACAGATGAAGGGCCCGCCGCAGCAACAGCAGCAGCAGGGCGGTCAACCGCCCAACAAGCCGCCGACGCCAAAGACACCCCAGGGTCCGGGTGGACCGGGTGTGCCAGTCGGAATGGGTGGCCCTGGAACGCCAACGGGCCTGCCGCCAGGTGCCTATCCGGGCTCCCATATGCCCGGCTATCCGCCTGGTCCGCCGCACGGCTCACCATTTGCCCCGCAAGATGGTCAGCCGCACGGCATGAAGCCCACTTCCCACATGGACGCGCTGCGAGCGCACGCACACTCGGCCAATTCGGCGGGCATGGGCGGTGGCCATCATCCAACGGAGCCATGTAAGATTGCCTGGAAACTGGTCATAGAATGTGTCTCTACAGCATGTATATTCTCTCTTTGCAGTGCCCATTGACATTGAGCCGGATCCGGAGCCAGAGATACCCAGTCCCACCCACAATATACAACGTGGACCCAGTCCCGAGGCCAAGCCGGACGACACCGAATGCCATCGCTCGCAGTCTGCCATGTGAGTAGGCCCACAGAGACAGAGACACTAGTCCAAGTGGAATAGATCTTTAATCTCTTGTGTATTTCCTCTTCAGATTTGTGCGTCACATTGATCGCGGTGATTACAATTCCTGCACGAGAACGGATTTGATATTCAAGCCAGTGGCCGATTCGAAGCTAGCACGCAAGCGTGAGGAGCGTGATCGCAAGCTGGCCGAGAAGGAGCGCGAAAGGCGGCAGGTGAGTGCTGGGAGAGCGCAGACTGAAGATTCAAATTTTAATTACATTTCTCTCTGTCCGCCCCCACAGCAGCAGCAACAACAGCAACAGCAGCAGCAACAACAGCAGGCAGCAGCTGCCCAACAGGCGGCACAGCAGGCCAAAATGAAGGCGGAACTGAAGCCCCCGTATGCGGATACGCCAGCACTGCGACAGCTATCCGAATATGCACGCCCACATGTCGCCTTCAGGTGAGCGTAGCGACTACTTCTCTTCTATATTCCACTTCCTTCTTCAGTCTCTGGTGTTAGGTTTATTCTCTGTTTAGTTATTCTTTTACCCCAGTCCAACTTTGTTCGTTCCTTTCTTTATGTTTGTTGAGAGTGACGTTGAGTTGACGTTGATTCTTGATTGTAATTATTTCAATATTCAATTTCAGTCCTGTTGAACAGATGGTGCCATATCATCATCCAATGGGCCCCATGTACAGAGAGAGGTACAGTAACATGTAATAGAAACATCCTGAAAGATCCTCCCCCCACAACTGCAACATCATGCACCAACACACAGCCATCAATCAATCAATCCAATTTATCCCATACCTTCATCTCCATCGCCTCATATCCAACCCCAAACACGCTTCCTCGTAATTGGAATTATTAGCCAAACAAATTGAGACACAAACAGTGCGTTACAGAACTTTTCTAGGAAATGCGCGAATGCACAAGCGAATGGTGTAAAGAAGAATGCACGAGAATTCTGAAAAATGGACGTTTCTCTCCAGATGTGATGCCAAAAACAAAATACATATCATGTGCATGACCCAAAAATAACTTAGCTTTAGAAAAGGCGAGAATGCACAAGCGAATGCTGCAAAAGAGCATCCACTGGAATTCTGCAAAGTTGAATGTCCGAGAATGCATTCCGAGGCTCGTGACAGCTTAGGCATAAAACCACATACATGTCCTGTGCATGACACATACGAAAAATACCCAAATTCAATTGTTTAAAATGTTCTGAAACGCACTAAATCAACACCGCTTTTTAAGAGAATTTTTATAATTTATCGCAGGCCCAAGGGCCAACAAAATTTAAGCTTTAATTGTTAATTATGATTTGCCAATGCACCTACACCACAATATCCACAACTCCATGCCATATAACCAAACACAACACACACATTTCTCATGCCCAACCCTGTTGCCCCCTGTGCTCATTTGTTCTATTTCGACTTATTGCAGGGAACTGGAGGAGATCAAGAACGCACAAGCCGCTGCGGCGAGTCAATCCCGCATCGATCCGCACTGGATGGAGTACTACAGACGGTTGGTTGTCTAAACATTAAAATAAATATTGTGTTATTAAATGTATAATTTATTTTTCTAGCGGCATACATCCCTCACAGTTCCCACTCTATGCGAATCCAGCGATATCGCAAATGGAGAGGGAACGTTTGGGTATACCGCCACCGCATCACGTAGGCCTTGATCCGGGCGAGCACATGGTGCGTATGGTAGGCCACAATTCTTTTTTATACTACTATTATTATTACCATTCATATTCACAAGATCAATCGTATTTGGAACGAACCACAAAATCGCAAAATCAACCATGAACCAAAATCGAAATCAAATCGAATCGAAACTCACTCTGTTTGTCCACTTTGTCGGCTATTTCTCACACACACACACACACACACATACACATTTGCTTAACACACATAAGCAGCGATGCTATAAGTCTTTCAAGTTGCAATCCAAACAGAAACTTTAAACAATACCCATACCTCCTCCAGCACGTGTAACGAGTAATGTCTATGTCATGCTGTGTTCATTTTTTGTGCTAACCAAACTCTATTTGCCATGCCATGCCTGCCTCTCTCTCTAACTTGCGTGGGGATAGGCGCAGCCTAACCATTCAGTCACGCCATCTAACCTGCCATCTAACTCGAACTCGAACTCAAAAACAAAAACGCATTAAAATACATTTAAAATTAAAACCAAAACACCAACCAAAAACCTTCTACTGTTGGCATTCCCACAACAAATGCAGCACTGGCTCTTCTCTTTTGAAACTTTCTACGATATTCAATAATTTTCAGATACGATTGACGAGAGAATATCATGCACACTCTCATACTCATTTACATTTGCCTTTGCATCCACAGCCGCAACCACCGGAGGCCGGTTTCCAACTGCCACGTGAGTTTGTATAGCCTAAAGAGCTCCCCTTTACCCCCCAAAACAAACCCCTGCTCTGTGACCGCCAATGAGTGCAACAATAACTAATGTTTTCCTTTTCTTTTTCTTTAATTTACTTTTGTGATGTGTTACGTGCCGCTGCAGCGAATGTTGGACAATATCCACGCCCAAATATGCTTATACCTAGGGAGCCGCATTCGGATGTACTGCTGAGGATGTCGTATGCCGATCAATTACAGGTTTCCCAAATCCATAATTAATATTCCTAACTCATTAATTACATATATACAGTATTTGCAGGCCGCCGAATTCCAGCGACAATCGCTGCACGATCAATACTTTAGGTGAGTCTCCAGCCCCAGCATTCAAAATCAAACTCTGGCCCCCCCCCCCACATCCATTGACATTTGTTACATTCATATCTTGAGTTTGTGCTTGCCACCCTTCGTTTTGTGTTTTTATCATGAAATCGCCTCTCTCTATATCATCCCCACAGACAACGGCCCAGATAAGTGGACAGGCGGCAATTGTAGAGACCAAGCAACTGAACAAAGAACAAACTCCGCCGTGAGGAAATGCTTTGTGTGATTTTTGTGTTCAAACGTTTTACATTTTGTTTTACCCACAAAACACTCCATCAAATATCATCAACCAACAACAACAACAACAACAACAATAGCAGTGAATAGAGACAACGGTGTGGCACATCCAGAAACGACACTAAGCGAACTTTAAGTTGCGCAAAGCCCCCTCATGATTTTATGTAAAAAGTTAGTACTCGGGTCAGCCATTCATTCCACTGCATAACCATAAAATCCCCCGCCAATTAAGTCACCCAAAACCCACATTAAACCGTAACTAATTCTAATATTTCGTTTTATGCTTGATACAGAAATCAGCTGCGTTGATGGGGATCATAGGACAATGGTTCTTGAAAGACAACTACCAGCATACACCACTTACTGACCAAGGCATACAGAATCAAAAAAAAACTACAAGCAAAACAACAACTAAACTAGACAAAAACAAAACAAAACAAAAACACGATGGTCGCAATATTTTAAGTATCCTCTTTATAGTGTATAGTGTTAAATTCTAAAAACCTAAACCAACAAAAGATGTTAAATATCGTTTAAGATTACAAAACAAAACAAAAACCAACAAACTGATAAGGGCAATGGAACAAAACCAACCAACAAAAAAAAAAAAACTTCAACTTCAAACAACTTCTTCAAGCTACAAAGTAAGAATGTGCAGCAGCAGGAGCTGATCAGATAACTAAGCAACAAATGCAACAAAAAAAACACATAAAAATCAACCAAAATACTTTGCTGCAGGAGGGGCAAGTTACATAAACTAGTATAGGAAAAAAAAAAGTGAAGGACTAAGCAAGGAAGAAGAGTTCACAGAATGATCGACGAAGTGTATTGTACAAACGGGGTTCTCGGGACACATGGATTTTTCTTTTCATCTCACATTTGTGCACTCTACTTCCCATGGGATAAGTTTACTTCCAGCCACAAAATGAACTAATCTAATGTCAAATATGATTGCTGCTTAATTTTTTGACTGCTTAGCTAAAGGCGAACGGAATTGAGAGTTATTTTCGATTCCCGTTAGTCCCCTAGTGTGTTATACTTGTGTTAGCCTAGAGCCAGCTTTTTGCTTACCCTCTCCCCACCCACCACTAACAGCTACTCATTAATTTATTATTTTGCTATGACTAGAGAGAGTATTATATATAGGAATGGGGCAAAAGAGTTTTTGTAAAAAGTGCATAAATAAATAATGGAATATTAATTATCGGGTAATTATACAAATGTGAATGATTTGATGCTGCACAGAAAAGAATTAATACAAGGGGAAAAGATGAATGTATGGATGCGATGCATTTTGAAGCAGTTGCAAATTATCGTGTGCTTAATTTATATTAGTAATTTATACAATTTACGATACGCAAAACAAAAGAATGCATTACATACATAACAAATTATATTTAAAAAAAAAGAAAACAAAAAGGTTTATATTAAATATAAGGCCAACAAAGGAAATGAAAATTAATGGCACAGATAATAATAAACGGAAAGGAGCAGCATAAATTATAAACTAAACAACAAAAACAAAAAAATGAAGGCATATTTTTAAATAACGTTTTTTATTTCACATTTTGAATATACACACCCACACATGGATATATATATATATTGTAGTTATATAAACATTAAATTAAAGTTTATTGTAGAATTGTCTTGCAGCATATTGAATGGCACACACACACAAACACAAACACGTGGGAAAACAAACCATATTTTGCGTAGTTTAATATTTAAGATTGTAAAGTGAAAAAATCCAGGCATAAATATTTATATATACAACAAAAACCCTCCCCTGCCCTCTCCCTCCCTCCCACACACACACACACAAACCCAAATGCAGCTATATATTTGCATATGCTATAAATATATATATACAAATTATAAGGCATAAAAATCCATTTACAACTTGATGATAAACAAAAAAAAAAACAAGAAAACAAACACACAAAAAATAAATTATTGAAACCTGTAAAAACTAAGTAAACAAAATAAAATTAGTTACATTAGTTACAAAAATGCGAGAGAACATATTTTCACTTAATAATGTTTAATGTTACCTTGCAGAGCGCCGGCCCGCAATCCCTTAAATACGTTTGCGAAAGCTTCATTGAAATATTATTTGGGAGAGAGTTTAAATACGAAACGCAGCCATAATTTTTAATACAGAGTTTATGGAAGTAGGCACATAAGAAAAGGGAAAGTACGAAACAAAAATAAGGCATAATAAATACAAGAATTATTTAAAGACAGTTGACAGAGCTGTTTGAATGGGGTAGAAAAATTGCATTTGAGACTCTGAATTTAAGATTAGTAATGAGACCTTATCCGATTTAGTGGAGAATAAATTTCATGTCCGGCTTGGGCATTGCCATTGCCCGTATAAATTAGAGGCTTCAAGTGACTGTCGTCCTTCAAACAAACTCCATTTGCTGTAGTTTTAATGTTCAATTCCATTTAACTTGTTTTTTGTGACACTTTTCTGTGACGGACACACTAAGGCCTTATCCGCTTTGGTGGAAGATAAGACTTTTGTAATGCGTAAATAAATTCGTTTCATTATATAATATATTTTATATTTGTGCTAAATGACTTAATGCTAGTTGCTATACAGTTGCTTAGCCTATGGATGACCTTAATTCACAATTGCTTAAATAATTGAGTACGTTTTAATCAGTGGCTTGGTTATAGAGACAAAATATATATCCATAAAATGCATTCCGTAAATAATAATAAATCAATTCTGGCTGCTTTAGACGAGTCGGGCTGCGGAGCAGGTGGCCGCCGAGGGAGCGCTTTGTGGTTCCGCTGAAATGCCATTGCTGATGTCCACTAGACCCAGGGCACCGCTCGAGGCGCTGGCCAGCACTCGCTTGTAGTTGCTGCTGCACTGGGAGTCTGCCACCGAGCGGCCATCACCCTCGTCGCGACGGCACAGCTCTGCGGCAAAGGGTGCACCCGCATTGCTTGTGTGAATCTCTAGACGTCGCTCCAGAATGTCCGCTGTAGTTAGCTCACTGGCCTGGACCATGCTGCTGGCTGGGACATTGCTCAGCCAAGGCTTGAGGCTGCTCTTCTTCTGTATGGTGGCAGCCTTGCAGCGACAAATGACATCCGCATGCTCACCGCAAATGGGACAAGTGGCACGATCCCCTGTGGTAATGGCATTGGATGTGCCCTCCACCTCGTTGCCGCCACCTCCACCCACCACAGTGGGCATGGTGGCACCCGAAGAGCTGCCACTCAGCTCCAGTTCGTTGACCGCCTCCACGAGGGTCTTCAAGCCGGCAGAGGACTGTGGACAGCCCTCGCCCATACCGTTGCTCTCCTGCTCCTCATAGTTGGGGCTGAGCAGCAGCTTGGAGAGTGGGGGTGCCAGTCCCAGGCCCAGATTACGCTCATGATACAGCTCCGAGATGCTGGGCGTTAGCTCTCGATTCATGTGCCGCAACATGCTCTCCTGCAGGCACTTGGAGCTCGTCTTGGCCACCGTGGGACTCTCGTCCGGCTTGGGTTCGCTCAGCAGCAGTTCGGTGTCCGTTTGGGAGAAGTAAAGACTCGCCGCATTGAACACCACACTGGAGACCTCCTCCTCCTCAGGCAGGGCCAGGGGTTTCCGACTGGCAGCAGTTCCCGCTGCCGCTGCCATGCCATTGCCTGCCGGCGCACTCAGCTCAGTTCGCACACTCAGCCGATCCATGAACAGGGCATGCTCCTTGTTGACACGCGCCGCCAGTGAGCTCTGGGCACTGCCCAGCTTGATTTTGGGCTTGCTGCGTCCCCCAAGGCCCACGCCCAAATTGTGATAGGCTGGCGGCCGTGGCGGGGGCAAAGGTGGCTGCTGCTGTGGCATTGCAACACCGCCACCACGTCGCAGCACTGTCGCGTGCCCGGAACCCTCCCAGTCTGTGGTGCTGCTGGCCGAGCTGGAGCTATCCGGCCGCCTGCTGCTGACGCTGCCGACTGCTGCTGCAGTCGCCGCCGCTGCAGTTGTGGGCTGCGAGTAGAGACTCCGGATGCGTGTCTGATGGGCCAGAGCCAGCGTCAAGCTGGGATCTGTCACCGGTGGACTGGGTGTAAAGGCGGCGTCGCTCTCTCCGCCACCTCCTGGCCGGGAGACCCGGACGGGTGCACGCATGCTGGCATAGCCGAGACGCGGATTGGCCAGCCCAAGGCCGGGTTGTGTGGCATAGCCATCGGACAGCGAATGCTCGCTGTCGGTGGTGTTGGCCAGGCTGGAATCCAAGCCACCTACTGCTGCTCCTCCTGCGCCCACTGTGACCTCGGTGCGTCCGCCATCGGGCTCGCCGCGTCGCCGCACATACGAGATGAAGGCGCTGCGTGGATGCAATGGCAGCGGCGCCTTGCCCGCGCTCACCGAAGGCGTGCTGCTGGCTGTGGGCTGCACGGGTGTGCCGATGGCATCCATTTCGGTCTCGGCCAGCGATTCGCAGCTGCTGCTTTGCGCTGAATCCATGTCCATGCCTAGGGTTTTGGGTGCCTCGCGAGTGTCTGTACAAAAAAGAGATTCATGAGTGGTTTGGGCTGGTAAAACCTCTGCCAAAAACTCACCAAACAACGCCAACAATGCCTGAAGCACAAACTGGCAGTGCCGACGATTGGCCTGCTTGCCCGTGCGGAGTATCACCTGATCCGCACCCACCTCGGTCAGATCAAAGCCCACGGAGGCGAGCAGCTCATGGCAGCCCGCGACGCGCCACAGGCGCACACTCAGCGGCATCTCAATGCAGCAGGCGGGCTCCTGCTCCTGCTTGCCCCCAACAGCTGCCCCGACACTGGAGGCAGGCGGAAACTGCGCCAGAATATTCCGAATGACGGCTATGATGTCATCCGCATGCTCCGCACTATTCACGTGCACCAACTTGGCCAGCGCTTGGAGCGTGGCGGGGGTTAGGGCCAGTAATGCCTGCAGACTGGCCGAACACTGGGAGAGACGCTCCTCGGGATCTGCTTGGGGGAAGAACACGCTCGAGGGTATGCCATTGGCAGCGGGCTCAAAGCGAAAACCAACAGCCATCAGCAGATCCTTCCAGCCGGCCACGGGACCCGCCTTGTTCTCAATGCTCTGCTGCGTGGTGTACATGGCGTTCTTCTGCCCGCGATGAATGCGCTGCAAACTCTTCTCCACTAGATGCAGGCACACCCGCAGGGCATCGCGACAACGTTCGGGAGTGCGTAAAAGCTCACACAGGGCATGGCCCAGTGCTACTTTGTTGGACAGACGCACATTGCTGCCTACGAGCAGGAAACCCGCCCAATTCGCCGGATGTGCAAAGTGTTTTGTGTGCTGCACCGTTTGCATAGCCTCCGCCAAAGCGCTGCAAAGGAGAGACAGGAGATTCAGTGATACTGTGAGTACAAATCTGTGGCACAACTTACCGCGCAGCTCTGGCGCCCTGCAACAACGCGGAGTAGAAGGCACGCAGGAGAATCTTAGCAGCCGTTTCCGGCACCGGCCACAGCGATATGAGCACGGCTCCCGCTCCTGCCATCAGCCAGCCGCCAGCTAGATTCGCCACGCCTGCGCCCGTGATGGGCTCCACCGAGTGATAAGAGCTGAGCACCACCAAACGTGCGCTGAGCCGCAGCTGTCGCAGCTCCCCAGCGGCCAAGGTAAAGTCCGAAAGTTGTGGCTCGTGCGGCTCCTTTTGCTGCTGCTGCTCCGAGGTGACCACATCGCCGGGACTAAGCACCACGGCGCCCAGCTGCCAGCTGAGATTCGCTGCAAAGTGAATGCACTCGGCGGAGGGCAGCTCGGCGAGGACAGACTCCTTGGTGGCATTGGAGCCAGCCAGAGCGGTGGCCTGCAGCATGTCTGCCACCATGGCGGCCTCTTGCAGTGCCGCCGGCGACTCGGCGCCTGCCCAGCCCCAGCGTTCGGCCAGACTGCCGGGCACACGTGGACCACCCACCACCAAAGCCTTGGGCGGACGAGCACGATCCCGTCGCACCTTGGGACGACGGCGCAGCGCCTGCAGCGAGGGAGCCGTGAGTATGGCGCAGCGCTCCGACAGATATTCCCCATCCTCGCCAGCAGCCCGCAGGATGGCAAAGGGCACTAGGTAGAGGGAGCTGTCCAGCACGAGGATTAGCTCACGCCTGCCCTGACGCGAGAGATTGGCGGAGGGCAGCAGATCGTCGAAGGGAGCCAGCAGCAGATTGTAGAGCGTGTGCAGGCAGGAGGGTCCCCGCCAGGCGGGCACAGGCGGCGCCCGACGCGAACTGCGGCTGCCCACGGAGCGCGTGGAGCCCTGCAGGCTGGCCACCGAGCCGCCAACGGAGCCCAGCGAGAACAGCGAGCTGAGGGAGTAGTTCGATGAGTTGAGCAACTGATTGCGGCTGACCATGCGCAGGAAGCCGCCTCCGCCAGCGCCTGCTCCAGGCAGATCCTCCAGCAG